AAACTCCTGCACTCGAGTAATCCTTCTGCCTAGCTTCCTAAGTAGCTGGGGTGCCTGTTACAGCGCCTGGTTAATAAATGTGTATAAAAAATACATATGTAAACTCAAAAAATTTATGAACCAACTGTGTACCAAAAGTTGTTATCTTTTTCCTATATTATTAAGCAAAGGGATGTTGAGATCATCACTATTTCAGAGATGAGGGAATTCTCAGAGAAGTCAGATGAGTTACAGAGGAATTAAAATGACTGACCCTAGCCGGGCGTGGTGGTACGTGTCTACAGTTCCAGGTACTTGGAGGGCTGAGATGGAAGGATCACCTGAGCTTGGCAGGTCAAGGCTGCGATGGCTGTGAGCATGCCACCGCACTCCAGCCTGGGCAACGAAAGGGAGACTTCGACTCAAAAAACAATTAAAAAAAAAAACACTGACTACCAAACAGTCTCTTAGAAAACAACTGGTATCTCAGTGAACAGGTATGTTCTTCAAAGCTTCTAGAAGGGAACGTACTTAAATTGGAGTCATAAATGCAGAGTACTACTGGAAAATGCCTACAAGCTTTCACAGCCATCTACATGGCATTTTAACATTAGAACAAAACGTACTAAAAATCTCTTCCATATAATGTAGATAATGGTCCCTTATATATTTTCTCTTTTATGTTGTGCTTATTTCCAGCTGCTTTCAGAGCCTGATTTAAAGGCAGGAAGGAAGCTGTGTCAGTATGCAGTCTCCCAAAAGCAGGAAGGAAGTACTTCAGACTGATTAAAGCCAGCATGACATTCACAGCGGACAATCTCATTCCAGCCAAATTAAAGTAGTAATTCCAATATTTGTTCTCTGTCAGCCATGTCAGCAGCCAAAAGAAACATGAGAAAGTGAGCATGCGAAAGCACACGTGCACAGGAAAAAAAAAAGCGAATTTATTACAACCTGCTTGTCTCATACAAAGTATTTATAACATTCCAAGGAATACATACAATGACTGAGCTTCAACTAGTTGGTATTTACAAGGTAAAATCATTTCAAAACTTACCAGCCTCCCACAAGATTATCAGGCTACACTGAAACTTCAGTGTTCCTTATCTGTTACCCCATCCTCCGTTCCCACTGAGAATGAAATCATCATGGTATGAAATGTTAAGGGGAAAATGCTTTTCTGATGGTTTGCTAATAAGACACATCCACATGTAAATAGCTGAGTATTTGGGTTTTGAGGGGGTTTTTTGAGCTTGACTTTTTTTTTTAGCTGGAGTCTCACTCTGTCACCCAGACTGGAGCCTAGTGGCACACTCCCGGCCACTGCAGTCTCACCCTACTGGGATCCGGTGATCCTTCCACCTCAGTCTTCCAAGTAGCCAGAACTACAGGTTTGCGCTATCATGCCCGGCTAATTTTTGATTTATTGTAAAGACGAGGTCTCACCAAGTTGCCCAGGTAGGTCTTGAACCCACGGGCTCAGGCCATCCACTCGCCTCAGCCTCCCAAAGTGCTGGGATTACAGGCTGAGCCACTGAGCCCAACCTTTTTTTTTTCTTTTAATGCAGAAATAGATCAGGAGGAAGCCTATGTGAATTCAGGGAAACAAGATAAGAAGTTAATTGAGAAAAAAGGTAGAAATATTTGTAGGTACATTTGATAAAACTTGAGATCTCTTGCACTTTCAGTCCGGGTGACAAGAGTGAGACCCCCAACTCAAAAAAGAATACCCATAACACCCAATTATAGGTAAAAATGAGAAAAGAAACCAAAATAAAACTCTAGCTTGGAGCAAAAAGTGCCATAACATTTCCTAAAGATAATTTGGATGTGTATACATATCAAAAACCGGGCTGGGCACAGTGGCTCACAACTGTAATCCCAGTATTTTGAGAGGCCAAGACAAGAGGACTGCCTGAGCCCAGGAGTTCGAAACAAGTCTGGGCAAACATAGCATGACCTCATCTCTACAATAAATCAGAAAATTAGCCAGGCGTCATGGTGTGTACCTGTAGTCCCCGCTACTTGGAAGGCTGAGGCAGAAGGGTCACCCGAGCCCAGCAGGTCTAGTCTGCAGTGGCCTGATCATGTCACTGCACTCCAGCCTGGGCAACAGAGTGAGACTCCAACAAACACACAAAAAAAACTGAAACAAACATATACTCTTTATCCACTTCTAGAAATTTAAGTAAGAAAATAATCAGTCAAGTGCAGGAAAATGTATGCAAAATACTAATAACAATATTATTTATAATAATGAAAAAATAGAACAATAAACAAAAGGTTAAATAATTATTCATCCATGTAATAGAATGGTGTAGTAGCCATGGAAAAAATCAAGTCATCGTCACAGTTAATGAAATCAGATTATATTATTTTAGTTATAACTGCTATAATTTCCTACCTGGTCTCCAGAACACAGGCAAAAAATTTAGCGTTTGTTCAATGTCAAAACAAAGCTCATGGTATAATGCTATGTTTCAAAGAAAGTAGAATATAAGACCATATACAAGCTAAATTTTATTATTTTAATATATGTATGGGTACAAACACATTAATCTATGTATATATAATATGCTACGATGGTACCTCTCAGTGGTGAGATTATGAGTGATTTTTAATCTTTTCTGCATTTTCTAAATTTTCCATAATAAACATACATTGCTTTCATAATTTTTAAAAATCAATAAACATTATCTTTGTGGTTTTTTTTGTTTTGTTTTTTTTTTTT